ACCTCGTCGCGATTTTAACGAACCGATGAAGAGAAGCACGATCCGCGAGTCGACGATTGTTTTCAACGGAAAACGGCGCGGCGGTGGCTCGAGAACTTATGGATCGACGTTGGATGGTGCAACGAAAACTTGCAGCCACCCTCTTTTCACTGAGATTTTCTTGGACCTACTGCTACTCGGACTACTTCCACGAGGGCAAGGAACACGAGCAGCACGCTCGGACGCCGCGAAATTCACTCGTTGAAAGAAAATCTACAAGTTCGGAACCGCGATCGCCGAACTTACACCTACTCTCTCGGTGTAAGAGGGACGTACACACGTCCCAAAGTCTGTCTGTCGAAACATTTCGTCAAGCGTTACACGTGTTATCGTTACGAAAAACCACGTGCTGGTTCGGATATTCTTTGTCTTTCGGTGATACAAAACTTTGCGAATTTTATAAACAAATATTTTACGCCATCGATACGCATACACGTAGAAGAAGCTGCATGTGCATGTATCTTCTATATGTATATTTCTTCTTTGATTCAAAATTGTAAATTTTGCGAACAAATCATACGCCATATAGAGAAGTCTATTTGAATTTCTTCATTTCGAGCTTAGGTTAGGTTTCGTTATCCGCCGTCCGTTTCGACGACTCAAAGCTGCGAATTTTATAAATTTCGAACACTCTTGAAACTTGAAATTAAAACAAATCTCGCGCCTCTTGCCTTTTACGTGCGATAATTACATTTAAACAATTTAACATTATTAAATTAAATATTGATTTTTTTTTTTTCAAATTCTCTGCTTGGCCGTTCAAAGCACTCGATAACTCGTGATATATTGATTTCCTGTTTTCGATCGCGCCGATTGTCCTTGACAAATAAATACTTGCAATTCCGCAAACATTCGAAAATGGCAAAACGGTTAGTTATGAATTTATGAATTTGCCGTGTTGTTTTATCGAGAATCGGCGAATGGCGGGCTTGAGCGTCCTTAACGTTAACTGATTTATATATAATCAACGACGTAGACGCCAGACGGAAGTAACGAAAAAAAAAAAAAAAGAAAAAAAAAAATAAACGAGCTAATTTCCACGATTTCTTAAACTTGTTTTCACTTTGCGATTTCTTAATCGAAATCCGTACGGGATTCAAGCGACAATTAACTGAATTGATGTTTTCCTACTTTATACTCGCACGTTGCATAGATCCTGAAATTGCAATTGTAATCAGAATTGCTTGATTGCATTCTCGTAACGTTATGTCAGCGGAAACAGGTCTTTTAATTCATATTCACGCGTCATTTGTCTTTTTGCCAGCTTAAACAGCCAATTACACATTTCTTTTTTTCTTTTTTTTTCTCGAAGAAACTCGATTGTTTATGCAAGAGCACAGCACAAACAATCTCTTCGTGTGTTATATACGATGTCACTGATTACCATCGTTCCTTTTGAATTGTCAGACCCAGAAAAGACTATTATTGGCGTATATATCCGATGCGTGTGTTTCAAATATGCGCGTTCAAAGTTCAAAATCGTGAGTTTCATCATCGATTAATTATCGTACGTCCCGTTCAATATATAATTAGACTGTAAATGTTTATGCATTTACGCAGAATTGCAAAAAATGCAAAAATGCACATGACATGTAGGAATATATAAAATATTCAAGGTATAATATTTTTAGTAAATATGCGAATGGGATTGTTGTTCAAGCGTTGTTCGTTTAGTTTTGTGAAGATTGAAATTCTTTTAAATGTCCACGGTCTAGTGGTTATATTAGACTTGCAGTAAATGGTACCTGACGTGAACAGATACATGAAATATCACTTGACATGTAAAACAATTTTCTACCGATGTTTTCTTACTCAAAGATATGAATTTACATCGAACGATTTACGCAAATGTAATAATAATCAATTAACGATCTACGTAGACGTTTGACGTAGTTCTCATAATCGTTTTCTCTAATTCACATTCGTCGAATGAATTACTCGCCACAGCTTGTTGGAAATTGCACTCCGCGATGAGTTTTCAACGCGGTGGCTTGCGAAATTTCGGAAATTACGAGCAACCGACGAGCTCGAAATCGAAAAATAACGCGAGCGACATTCCTCGTCGTCGTTCGGGCAACGATTTCGTCATCTGATCTGCACTGTTCGAGTTAGGTTAGGTTAAAAGCAGGTGGCCTTATCAAACGTTGCCACACCGGCTCGAAAACCCGTTTTTTTGTCACGGAAAAATTCTATTGTCCGATTCTAATCGTTAGATTCCTTCACTTTGATTGACTTAACGGATCCCTATTGATATCTAGTCGTCTCGAATGAGCGAACGTTCCTCGATCGGATCGACGATTTCACGATTAGATTATTATCTTTGTGAGATCCAATCGTATTCAATCGGATCGAAATGTGTTTCCGACTCTGCTGGAACTTGTTTTTGCGAAACGTCGATGACATTGACATTGACTCGTTAAAAGCGGATAAAGCCTGTTTAACTGTTTCCCACAGTCGTGCACGATAGTCTGTAAATTCAACACGAAACGCGAGCTGTTCGGCCGAACAATGTCAATTATCATTCGCGAGTGTATATTTTAAATAACTAACCGTATTGTTCTTTTATCTTCGAGTAATCAAGGAGAACCGGTGTAAATTATAAAAATTGAATGATCGTGAAGTGACATCGACGAGTTCAAAGTTTGACAATGGAAGGGCTTAAGTCTTTACGATCGATCGTGATTATCTTTTGCTCTCTCTTGTTCGTGTTGTTTTCGTCTGATTTCGACTGGTTTTTCCTCACTTTTCTATGTCTCTCGTTCTTTCTTTCTTTCTTCTTTTTTTTTTTTTTTTAACATTGATAAGATCTTTTTGTTCTTCTATCTCTACATCCCAACGTCATCCTTCTTTCGACAAGCAAAAACACACGAGACGAAAATTCTTTTTTTCAAAAAATACTGAAGAATAATTTAACACGATAGAGAAAATACGAAAATGAATCAAACGGAGTTTTTTTTTTCCAACCACGTGAAATC